TAACAGAAGTTATATAGTGAACAGAAATATTAACTATCACAGAGAGCTTAAATTTTAAGGAATATTAGATGGGGAACCAGCAGAAGGATTCAATGAAGAATATAAATATTTATTTAATTTCAGGCAAAGAAGAGACTTCAGTAACTACATTTCATATAGCTGGAAATAAAGAGTATGTTTAGAACGTCACAGAAACAGCAGAAGGAGAATATGAGAGCTTGAATAAGACTATGAATGAAATTGAACTTTATTTCCCACTAATGAATTTCCTCATAGGAAAGCCTGAGCTTACCAAATGAGCTCAAATGAGTAAGTTAGACCAACAGTACAAATTGATATCGTTTCTTAGCAAACTGCAAGAGATACTTGTTTATATTTGCTTCAGTGTATTAAGGATGCTAAAGTACTTATACTTATTGATGATGTTCCTTTTACCTTATTATCAGAAGCAACTTGTGGTACCTTGCAACAGTAATGATCATCAAATCATTAGGTCAAACCTGAAATTGCTAGAAGTGAAACACAGATACATAAATCTGTCCATATGCAAAACACTGCTTATCAGGTCACTTTTCCTCCAACACCTAAAACATGATCTCTCCATGTATAATAAGAGAAGACTTAGTTTTGTTTGTTCTAACTAGAAAGCGCATATAGAAGAACCGTAGTAAGTGATCTTATCTGAAACCTGAGAATTCTAAAGATTCATCTTCATTACTAATGGTAAGCCCCATTTTGCTTGTGACATTTCATTGCAGATTTCTTGTCTTTTTGGTTTTTTTGTTTTTTGTTTTTTTTTAAATGTGGCATTCATTCTCACTAATCTCTCAATTTAAGCATAACTATGCAAACGGAATAAAAAATACAATCACAATTCAATATGGACAACGTTCCGTTGTTTTCTCGTTATCAACATCAACACAAAAGTACTGTGGATTTCAAACTTTTAAGAATGAAACAGTTGGAAAGGTCAGTACTGCCACCATGTGTTAAGTGGTAACAAAATTACAGAAATTCAGATGGGAAAAGAACATCAATACACCAAGAAAACAGATTCCAACATAAGTTTAATTATTATCTACTCTCCAGTTTAACTGCTGCAGCAAAAATAAATACTGATATCACTCAAACCTTAAAATTCAATAGGAGCATTTGTAAACTTTTAAGTCAGAGCACATTAGATATACAGTGAAGGAAAGCACTTACATAAAGTTAGTATTAATTTAATGAAGACAGAAAATACTGAAGTATACAAAAGTATAAGATTTTATTGACAATTAATTTTGTCTTAGCTGAATTTAATCAAATAGAAATGCAAATACTAAGAATTTCACAAGATAACCCTGTATAAATTAATCTCTTTATACCTGATTATTCCATAAATAAATTTCAAGGAAGAAGGATGTAGTAACTGAATAATATGAGAAGCAGTAAAACGATAGCAGCATCTAAGCCCTTGTGTGACCATGATTTAGTAGGAGTTTCAACTACTCAGAATGTAGTTATTGCAAATCCAGATTCATGCAAAATTGACCTAAAAAACTAATTAATATCCTAGCTGTATTTTACATGAGTTAGGATAGAATAAATACTGCTAAATATCACCACTCAAGTCAGGATGACTCCAGTGGGTGCATACAGCCAGGGGAGACAGCATGGAACATGGCTGTGGAGGATGCTCTTGCACCTCTCCTGAGGAGCTTACATGCTCGCTCCACTGGCTCTCTGAAACGCCTGGACACCAATGCGCACAGCATGGGGAATCAACAGGAAGAGTTAGAGATCTGTGTGCGGTCGCAGGGCCATGATCTCATTGCAGTTACAGAGACATGGTGGGATAGTTCACGACTGGAATGCTGTCATGGATGGCTACGTGCTTTTTAGGAAAGACAGGCCAGCCAGGAAGGCGAGGTGGTGGAGTTGCCCTTTACGTGAAGGAGCACCTAGAATGTGTGGAGCTCTGCCTCGGGATGGATGAAGAGCAAGTTGAGAGCCTATGGGTAAGGGTTAAAGGGCAGGCTAACATGGGTGACACTGTCGTGGGAGTTTACTACAGGCCACCTGACCAGGAGGAAGTCATCGATGAGGCCTTCTACAGACAGCTGGAAGTAGCCTCACGATCACAGGCCCTGGTTCTCATGAGAGACTTCCACCACCCTGGCATCTGTTGGGAAGACAGCACAGCTAGGCACAGTCAAAGAGGTTCCTGCAGAGGATTGATGATAATTCCTTGACCCAGGTGGCGGAGACACCAACAAGGAGAGGTGTGCTGCTGGACCTTGTACTAAC